TTTTTTTTTTGTAGTGCAGTATTTGAGTTGTAAATCATAATTTTAGCAGTGAGATCTACTTTTTTATGAGGATTAACTATTTGTATGGACTTTTCATGATGTAAGAAGTCACTTTCTGTTTCGTTAGTAGGTTTAGTAAGTGATTTTTATAACACTAGTCTTGTGTCACGTACTGTACACTGCCATTCAAAAGTGTGTGCCCGGAAATTTTTTTGTAATGTTTTTTAAATAAGTCTCCAATGCTCACCAAGGCTGCATTTATTTGACCAAAATGTAGTAAAATGGCAATATTGTGAAATATTATTACAATTTTAAATAGCTGTTTTCTATTTGAGTATATTTGAAAATGTAATTTATTCCTGTGATCACAAAGTAGAATTTTCAGCAGCCAATTACTCCAGTCTTCAGTGTCACATTTCTTATTATCATCAACGTTGAAAACAGATGTGCTGCTTAATATTTTTGTGAAAAATTATAAATGTCTTTTACTTTCATTTTTGATCAATTTAATGCATCCTTGTTGAACGAAAGTATTCACTGCTTTCAACCCCCACCCACACATATTTTTGACCAGTAGTGTATAATGTCAAAGTCTTGTGGCTATACCTTCAAAACAAAGTGTTTTTAATGTTTCTCCATGTACTGCATTGCCTTAGACAATCAAAGTGTATTAGTGAAGACGTGACTTACTTTCTTCCCTTATTTTCTTTCATGAAAAACAAGAAGAGTCACTGTTTTCTGTATCTGCAGTTAAATTATTTGTTTCTCTTTTCATCAGTATTTGACTCTGGTGTTGTTTTGGCCCTTGACCCATGTGTGCGAAACAGTGAAAAAAAACTTCTTTCTCTATTCAATTGAGCCCATGCAGAGCTCAGACTCTCCGCCAATGCAAACGCTTGACTTCTTTTTCAGCATCCACTTGTTGACCCTGGCGCTTAAGAGGGAATGACATCTTCAATTTCCCGATTCTCGGTACGAAGTAAACCAATAAAGCCTGTTGTAATCCGCAGACTCCCGCTTTTTTAAGAATGGCAAAAAAAAGCTGAGAGGATTTTCTTTTCAGTGGCTGTAGGGTTTGTTTCTCTTCCACTTGTAATTCCTCTCAGAAAACAAATGCCTGTGGGCCTCCTTCTGTAGGACAGGGCTGCCAATACCCCCCTCCTCACTCTATGAGTCTTTCAGGCTCACTTTCACCCTCACTATCCGTTTCTCTGCGCCACCTGGCTCTGTGCCCTCACGGTCAGCTGTAATGCTAGTCTTTTCCTCATCCTGTGTGTGATGCAGCCGTGCATTTCTTATTGAGCTTTAGCTGTGAGCGCATGACTGTTGGTTTATATAGCTGTTTAAGACCAATAAGCAGGTTCATCATTGTCTTTCCGAGCATCACACATTAGAAAGACCCTTGGGAATTTCTAAATGGAGATAAAGTGTGTCATGTTGACCGTGCGGTGTAATGCCTCTGCAATAACTGACGTTTTTTTGCAAAGAAATAACTGAGAAGACTTATAGAGATGCACGATGAAACTTTGCTTCGAATTGTTCTTTTTGTATCAACGAACCTATAACTTTGATGTTTTCTGAGGAAAATGTGAGCTTGTGTCACCATGATGGTAGGGTGTTGTGGGTGGTTGCTATGAGGTTGCTAAGGTGCTGTAAGAAGTTGTAAGCATATTGTAGGTGGTTACTGAGATGCTGTGAGAGATTTGTAGGGTGTTTCTTTTTGCATTTCTGCCCCAAGTCAAAATGCCTACTACTGTTCAAACGTTTTGGGTTGGTACTTTTTTTTTGTCTCTTATGCTCA